GCGTAGTGCGTATGTGCATTAGTTAGCGTCGATGTAATAGATAAAGTTTATACCTGAGCTCCGTAGGCGTAAATCTATTTCTTATCTCTACACATATGCAAATGTGGCAGGACCATCATACTGTTTAGCCACAACCGTTTCTGAAGGTAAATAAGGATTAACAAACTCTCGAAGGATAGAACTGTCCAATCATTATCAAGCAGTAGTAAACCACACTCTTAAAGTCGTTTCGTTTGTGCTATCTGTCATATGGCTCAACATACCCTTTCCCGTTTCTGGGCGCGGAAAATTTTAGGAAAATCTTTCTTAAACCGTCCAAGCGATATCTTCATCATCTTCAACTGGAGTGACAAACGGTACGGGACGATCGAATATTACAACCCGACACTTGAAATCGGAAAACAATTGATCGAAGATTCATACCAGAATTGGCCACCAACCGTGTGGGAAGTTATCATAAGCGTGATGTGTATACCGAGGCTGAATTACATAGAACAAACAGAGTCTACGTTCTATAGTTGGTCTACGTTCGATAGTTGGTCTACGTTCTATAGTTAGCCTACGTTCTATAGTTATGTACAAGATCTCCACAGTTAGCGGCAGTGAGTCATGCGCAGCCTCTTCGTACAACGGTGAGCATTTCTCATGCCAATTGCTGGTTGACAACAACTATCCCAATATCAAGTCACTTCATGGGATGCAGTGCAACAGCTCACACGTTCCCACACCGCCACCAAATAATCGACGACGTCTACTGGAGACAAACTGAGAGGCATCGGTGCCATGTTAACACAGCATGACGAATTGAAGTTACGTACACAGACCTTGCCAAAATTGCTCATAACTTTTGAACCGGTTAACCAGACCACATTCAACGCAAACAGACAGAATTTATCGTACATATTTCAGCCACTGTCTATATTGACGTTCGAAAGTGAACAGCTCCACGGAACAGATGCAACAGTTACAACCACGTCGTTGCCTTGCCTTCGCTGAACCGACGTGCAGTACACCGAGACATTCATTACCCAAACAGGTGAAACTCCCATCAAATGAACAGCCCCAAAATAATGGTACCTGGATAGACGCCTCGTGCTCGTTCTTCTTTCGGACTTCCTCAGCGCTACCCATCCGCGAGAGCCCCTTCTTAACCTCGTCTTCCAGCCTAGCCCATTCCTATGGGCGTATGCACAGCAGATTTGATGTTAGACAGTATACAGCCCTGCCATCGACATGTTGCGGACAATGCACTTCGTGCTGTGTCTT